GGGGGACAAAAACGACGATCTTCGCGGCAGATTTTTGCCCGAAGGAACGGAAATGGAGGGAAGCTCGATCGGTCGACGGAAACGCCGGATAGTTGACATAAAAATAGTAGGTCGCGGAGATTTGAACTCGTAATTAAACCTCTCGCCCACGCGGTAGCTGTCTGCCGCAGTTATACCCGTTCCATTGCCCACTGGCTAACGACTCTCGTATCCCTTAAATGTCAGGCTACTCGTACGTCTCGCGGAGCTTCGAATTTCGTCGGAAAGCAACGTCTCTTTAGTTTTCTGCGGCCATATGGAATTATTGTTTATATACACACAGTAGCACGATATTCCATTTATATGAAAATATGGCACGCGAAGGAAACTGCGTTCGCTGCACGCGTATCGTCGCCTTATTATTTGTAGCACGATGATAACGTTCTAGCAATAGGTCTTCCACGTTGGAGCACGAATCCGCGTCGACCGTAACAAAGACCGCGACGATTCGGTACGCGATATCGTATCGATACATCCACGGACTTATGGATTTTCGTTTCACCAAATGTTTTCATTTAACGCGAACCCAACGATACGATAAACGTTTCGATTAAAAATAATTCCACTCGATACTTATCGCGAACAGATATTTATCACGGTTCGTTTCGTACACGAGTTCGGTCCTCTCCGCGTGGGACGTCGGTCGAACGAGACGGCGGCCATCTGTCTTTATTTTCTTTCCCTTATTCGTATCGGAATCCTGAGCACACATACGCGATATGTTATTTCAGGTTCCGTCGGAGCAAACGTAGTTACGGTAGAAATTAAAGAATAATAAAATATAAAGAACAATTAGTTTCCGGGGATTCTCCTTCCTCCCTCCCTCCCATCCTTCCCACTCCCTCGCCGTCGAGTCCTTTTCATCCGTTTCGTTCGCGGATCTCGCGTTGCTCGCACAATCAACCGTTCCGTTGAAACGCACGGTTTCATCCGTTCTTCGCGTTTACACGCGCGCGCTCGCTTTCTAGAGTCTTCGACAAAACGGACAAATGGTCTGAATGCATCGGCTGTTAAAGCAATTTTAAACTTCAATAGGTATAATGAACACATTGAGACCGGCGATAAACGAGTACGTATCTCCTAGCTGCGCGTCGACGCGCTACAACGAATGGCAACATTGTTGCGATTAAGCGAAATGCGAAAACAGCCGAGTAACTGGTTAAATTAATTTTCGCGACGATATTCGCTGTTATAGGACACGTTACGGTCTAAATATGTAAACGCGAGACGCAACTTTTCAACTACCTCCGACGGAAATCTCTCCGTACGCGACTTTCGTACAAAATGCGATACGTGGAGCAAGCTTTGTTTCCGATCGAATCGTCGATACCGATACGCGATTCTTTTACCGGGAACGTTATTCGTCCGCGAGTCACGGAAATAACTGAACATCGTTGCAAACATGCGGGTAGAAACCGTGCTTGGGCAACTTATCCTCGAGTAATTCTGTTATTATTTAAAAAGCACCGCCATACTTCTTCGGACTAATTCCCGCGATATCCGTAGCATCGACAGAGTTCACCGACCGATCGAACACAACGATCGATTAGAACGATACCGGTCGTACGTGGAATCGTAGCTTGCTCGATAATGCTACCGATCGAAGTCTAACGAGACGGTCCCCGCTCACCGGAAGGCGCACCCGCGTTCCGTGCCCAGGTCCTTCGGGAAGAACGTCCTGGTTCGTTAAGAAAGCGGTGGCACGACTTCTGGTTTGCCGTACTTAAAGATTCCTAACTTTCTAAACATGTGTCAACGTATGCGTCATGTCGGATGTCCGCGTAACCGTGAGTTGCCAGCAGCGTTCGCGTTACAACGGAAAGCAACGACCTAAAAAAGAATTGCTCTTCCAGTTTTCTCGGATCTCGCGGATTCTAATCGACGAACGTGTATCGGTGGTCGAATCGAAATCCGGACAAACGATACCGTAAAACCAAGTCGCGTCGCTAACGAGTCCACCGGACAGCTGCTCGCGGAAATCGGTGAAACGGTGTTGGTTGTTCGCAGGTCAATGGGTATTCTGCTGCCGCCCGTTCCGCAGGCGAGCGCGACGACGCTGACGCATCACCACAGAAATCGAAGTCTCGATTCCGCGCTGCAGCGTATCCCGGAAGTGGACGTGACGCCGAGCCCGGAATGCGAGACGACGCCCGCCCCGGTAGCTAAGGCCGCGGTGCCGGCCTGCAAGGTGCGCAGCCGGGAACGCGAGGACCTGGCCAGCCTGGGCTCCGATGACTCGGGTATCCTTTGCGGCTCGGACAGCGGGTCCAGCGACGCGACCAACGCGGCCACCAGAGAGTCGAGCGTCGACCATCTTCACAGCCGCGAGAGCCTGGACTCCTCGCTGTCGCAGCCGGGCGACATGGACGGCGTGGACGTCGTCGACGGCGACGAGAACGGTTGCCGGGCGACGTCGGTGTCGGTGTCGGTGTCGTTGTCGTTGTCGGTACCGGTGTCGCCGGTGGAACTGGTGCATTCGAGCGAACCTCCGTCGAAAAGAGGCGGACACGGGAACCGCGGCGAACACGCGAACGCGAACACCGAGGGCACGCAGGAACCGCCGCCGCGATCCGGTAGCGGCGGGGTCAAGGAACTCGAGGCGCACGATTATCAGCGCAAGGAACTCTGTACCGAAGTGCCGGTAACGATCGACGAGCAGGACTTCCAGAATCCGCTGGAGGTCCTGCCGGTGAACGATAAACAGTGCGAGCTAGCCGGCGCGGCTATGACTTTGTGTTGCGGGACGACCGTGCAGTCCGAAGCGAACGAGGCGGCCGTTAAAAAACAGCCCGGCGTCGTTTGCCGGAGACAAGAGACGGTGCAGCCGAAACCATCCGAGGGTTGTCTGCTCAGACTATTCGAGAGCCAGATCTTCGACATGTCTATGGCGATCTCTTATCTTTTCAATTCTAAGGAGCCTGGCGTCCAGAGCTACCTTGGTAAGCGTTCATTACTCTACAGTACTCGAAGTAGTAGTTGGCTCGACGAGACGACGAAGCGGCGAGTTTCGTACGATTGTAAACGTTCGAAACCGATGAGAACAGATTTTGCGCGTCGAGCCGCTTCGTTGCAAGGCAATGAAAATACGTTCGCGGATACGGATGGGCTGGGTGGGAACGCGGGGAACTGTCTACGATGCTTCGCGTTAAGAAAGCGACCTTGATCGAACGACTTTCGTAGCATCTAATTTAGCGCATCCGTCGAAGTATGCCGTGTGCGATTAGTTCTTCAATTTTGTCTTCGCGTTACCGTTTCTCTACCAATGGTATATTTTACGATAGCATTCGATGCCGAACTATGCACACGGTAACGTGGACGAATCCGTGCATCGATTAGCCCGGAACTTTTGAAAATGTTTGCTTCTGTTCCATTGTCTTGCACGGAAACGAACGGAAACGAACGGAAACAGAAACGCGCGTTTCGCAAGCAATGCAATGTAAATCATTTCCAGGGAACAAGATGTTTAGTTTCCCAGATCCTGACGTGGACTTCTATCTGCCACAACTGGTTGTAATGTATATACAACTGCACGATGTTACAGAAGTCCTGTATCCATATCTTGTCCATAGGTAAGGACGCAAAGATCGTACAAAATCGATGCGATACTCTCCAACGATACTCCGTAACCGCGAAGCTACGCGAAATCTATTCAAATATTCATACAACTTTCTTATCTATCAGGTGTAGACAGTCGGCGGACTTTTCTTTGAAATGTGCCTGGCTATTAGACGCGTATAGTTCCGATGCTCATTTGCCATCCAAGAAGAAGTCTCATGGGACCAAATTAAAAAATCTTATTCTCTCGGACGAACTCAGGTAAAACCAAAACCTAAGCTAAACCGTGCTATCTATAATTCACGATGTACGCTGAATCGTATTGTACGAAACAACAGGCCGAAAGGATACGAGCATAGGAAGCACCGTGTAGCTGGTTTGCAGACACCGACTCCACCGTCGTTAACCACGATGCAAAGCATTACGTCTCCTAATAAAAAGACACACCAAAGATCTCAGTCGGATGCCACTGGATTATTTCAAACGTTACGTCGTAGCCATTCCGGTACATAGTCCACTCTTGTACGTCGTTGTATTTTTATATCGTATCATATATATATATATCTTTTTTTTCTTATCTCTTCGAAGGTACAATAAATAAAGTAAGCCTTGGGGACCTGAGCTCTGGTCGAGCATTTGACAATGGTTGTACCTGTTTTTATTCCTGCCAGGGTGTGGTAAATGATTTACGAGGACAGAAAACCGACTGTATTTGCAATGTAATCGAACTCGAACTTTCCTAAACGATTTTATTCTTATCCTAATGCGGAATACGAGAGAGATTGAGATATTCTTAATATTTGTATCCCCAGGCGCCGCGTCTTGCTCCAGAACTCGAATTCATACAAGCGTTAATATCAATTGGTAAATTGCTTGGAACTATTCCAACGAAGGAAAGTAAAACCGTTCAATTAATAGCAGAGCTTAATACTCTCAACTTGAATCTCCCTGCAAGGGTGTGGCTTCCTTTGCACAGTTCAGTACCACATCATATCGTACGAGTGCCACCGCAATACGCTGCTGTCCTAAATAGTAAAGATAAGGTGAACAACCATGAAATAGCCTCGGTTGCATTACAACTAACATCTCGATAACGTTATGATTTACGACGCGCAGGCACCATACATAATTTACGTCGAAGTGTTAGAAGTAGAAGATATATATACGTCACCTGTGCCGACGAAGATCGTGGGCCATTCGTTGAGGCACACGAAATCCGAGGAAAACTTAACCGGAGGCGAACAGTCCACCGTGATCGCTTCGTCAGACATATCCACCACGGAGACGCAACAAAACGTGCCGCCGATCAAGCAAACCCCGGTTAAAAATACTTCCCCGTACTCGGTGAGAAGTACGGACGTGGCATTTACTTTCCCGGATGACGATCCCAACGATTGTTGGAGTCAAGAAGACGATGAAATCACTCAACAGGTAGAGTACATGTTACAGCCTGTGCGGCTGTATAAATACTTTTGCTAATTTGCCAGGCGTGTTCGTTCGGTCAAAGGCTAGCCGGGAAAAGAATCGATCGATAACAACCACATTTTTGTTTCCACAGTATTTACAACTCCGTAAGCCTAAAGATAGAGACACGATATCTCAATTGAGTCAAGAGTCATCGGATAGTAAAGAACCAATATTTGTACCTGGCGATATAAAGCGACGGTTGAGCGAGATGGCCGCTGCGCCTAGTGCAACTTTCAATCACGATCCGGAAGATCCATCGGCCGCGGTATTGAAAGAACCATGGGAATTGAAGCAACATCGCATAAGGGCTTCCAGTCCGTACGGTCACCTCGCATCCTGGAAACTTCTTGCCGTTATCGTAAAGTGTGGCGATGATCTTCGGCAGGAGCTGCTCGCCTCGCAATTACTTTCGATGCTCCAAAGAATCTGGCAAGAAGAACAAGTACCTCTTTGGGTGCGGCCGTACAAGTAAGCCTCCATTCGGTATTTCGTATTAAGGAACACTATTGTCAAATTAATCGTTACATGCTGATTTGCATTTTGCAGAATTTTATGCTTATCCAATGATAGCGGTTTGATCGAGCCGATCTTGAATACCGTATCGCTGCACCAAGTGAAGAAACAGTGCCAATTAACGCTCGTGCAATACTTTGAACGAGAATTCGGCCCACCCACATCCGACACATTTATCACCGCACAAAGGAATTTCATTCAAAGTTGCGCGGCATATTGTCTCGTCTGTTATCTGATTCAAGTTAAAGATCGTCACAATGGGAATATTCTACTTCATAGCGACGGTCATCTGATACACATAGATTTCGGATTTATTCTGTCGACCTCGCCGAGGAATCTGGGCTTCGAGACTAGCCCGTTCAAATTGACACCAGAATTCGTGGAAGTGATGGGTGGAAGTCAATCTAAACAATTCCAAGAATTCAAAACGCTGATCTTGCAAGGTTTAATTGCGGCGCGGAAACACATGGAGAAGATTGTTAACCTCGTTGAAATCATGTTATCAGGTAGGATTTTTCTAATATCGTGTAAGAGATTTAACGAACGGGATCATCTAAAGTAAGAATATTCATTTTTGCAGGATCGCAACTTCCATGTTTCCGTAGTGGCGGGGCAGCGACTGTTCAAGGATTGAAGAACAGATTCCATCTAACATTGACAGAGGATCAATTACGCCGGCACGTGGAGGACTTAGTCGAAGCTAGTATCCATTCATGGTCAACTAAATTGTACGATCGGTACCAATATTTCGCAAATGGCACCCTTTAATAATAATATCAACGTTTTTGTCTTTGTGTGAGAAAGAGAATGATTTCTACGAGAGAGAGAGAGAGAGAGAGAGAGAGAGAGAGAGAGAGAGAGAGAAATCTTTGAGTTTAATGATACGTGGTACTTCTTCCATGAAAGGTATAAAACTTTGTAGCATTCCGTAAGCACAAATTATCTCTGAATCGAATTATTTGATGGCGGTGCAGATAGTGATCGAGATACATAGGGAAATGCTATCTAAGATTATAGATTTATTCCGAATAGAAGATAGGCTGATTTCGATAGGTTAATTTTACTCGCTCTTAAATTATTCCTTAGTTTCTCGATGAAAGGCTGAGCGTTGTCTTTTAATGAAAAATATGGAAGAAGACGTAGGAATGCCATGCTCGTCGATGATTGAGAACGGCCTGCAAATACGCGTACGATTTGCAGAATATTCGAATGCCTTGTTACGCCCGTGAATGCTAGCGATCGAAACAGGGAATAATTTATGAAATTTTTATTGTTACGTTAAGCAATATCGAGTATGTATAATTGATTTTGTTGTATACGTTCAAATGACTATGTATGCCTTATTGGCAAACTGCGAGTTAACTATCGTCGGTGCAGACTTTGTGACATTGACTGAATGTTGGACTGCTAGAATCGTTATAGCCTATAACAGCGTAATTTGTTAAAGGTGCCTTATTTGTAGAGAAAATGGCGGAACGATCGAATCCGAACTCAGTGAAGTGACTACGTGCGTTGATCTACCGGGAGAAAAAAAAAAGAAACTGATCTATTACGAAAAGGACAATCTATAATTTGTACATAAAAATACATTGCGTGAACTTTTGTCGAAATCCATTCGTAGTTAATTTTCGGCAATAACCGATCCCACCACGATAATAGTGATCCGAACGATCACACACGGTGTTTTAAGATTCTATGCGGAGAATCTCCAAGTGGAAGAAGCGTGCGAAACTGGCTCAGATATTAGCAGGAGACGAATACTCAAAATATTTCCTACTTTATAGATTAATACTATTATAATTACATTTAATTGTAACGATACGCTATAAGAAGTAATTATTATTAGTAAAAGTTTAAGGATCACAATTTGAAAGTTTTTACATGTTCTTATTACATGCATACAACATTAATAGTCATAAAGAGCGATATCTTAGTTGTGTGAAGATAGTTATTTAATGGTATTTCTGCGTTAAACATATGTTCGTTTAAATAAGTAAATTATAAAAGTGAAGAAGTATTGTATATACAGTGACAAATTTTATCACTTATCGGTTTAAGATTCGATCGAGAATGAATGTACGAAGCAAAATCAAAGTCACCGTAAGCCAGCCCATGTATGGAAATTGGGCCGTCTGACTTCCAAGTGTCTTAAACTCTCTTTCTTCTGTCTCATAACCGTCTCATGAATAGAAAGGCGGATCAGAGATTCAGGATAATTGATATTGCATAACGCTCAATAAACTTTGCATTTTAATACCATACATTTACGTAACACACTCGTTGCACCGATTTCTGTTGACTATTCCGTGCAATTCTCCTACTTGTCATAAATAATTGTGTAACTGTTATTAAAAAGAAGAGAACGTTTCATTGATTTCATATAATAAATTTCACTATTTCCGGACAAATCGAAGTGCTAATATCTCTGATTTGCCTGATTCTTTCGCCTCCACTTATGAGCTACTGATAATATCAATTATTAAATAAACATGAAATCCAATCAAACCTATTTTTGATTGATATACCCATAATGACCTAACCAGGGACTTGCAAGGATAAATTGTTTCGATATTTTAGGTCTAGGTATTCGCGATTGTTAGGGAAAGCTTTGCTCGAATGTGGATAGGGAGTGTAACAACGATTGCTGACAAAATTTTCAAACTACGTAACTGTGCGGTATGTCCCTGATTTGAACTTAAATGACATATCGAACCAGAATATACATATGTATGTACACAGAAATACAAGATGACTCAAAGATATTCAAATTTTTATTAATTGTACATCGATCGCTACACAACGCTTTTTTAAACTAACAACATTAAGTAAATAATTGATTCTATAAATACGCATTAGGATATCAGTCATAAGAAATTCGGGAAGTACGGATGTACATATTTATATATACATATATATATATATATATATATATATATATATATATGTGTGTGTGTGTATGTATATATATATATATATATATATATATATACATATATATAATTGATGTATATGACAATGAAAGCATAAGTATCATAAATATCACAATAAGTTATGATTACAGAGATCATACAAATGTCTTATATTCTAGAGAGCTGTTGTAATAAATTAGAAGGCAAGATCGCTTCCAATTTGTCTAAAATATAATAAAATGGATGTGAAAACCAGGCAAGCATTGATCGTGCTACTACACCCATGGTATCGGGATACTGATGAGTTAAAAGCGCTAGGAGTGCTGTAAAGGAACATAAACCTGCTGTAAATAAAATAAAAAATGGCAACTCCTTTTTAGGATAGACGCTGACATCGTGAAACGGAGGTAAAAGTTCACGATCCGCGCATTCTGTGCAGGTTGGATATGGATAAAATAAATGCCCCCTTTCCAAAGGATAAGGTAACCTTCTGAATGTACCCTCCCAAGTGCAATGCAATAAGTTAAGAGCACCTTCCATCTGTTTCCAGTGCGCAAGGTGAAAAAATGCGTACGCTATCGCTTCCGAATCTCCTCTTTTCAGCACGTGTTCCGGTGGTAAAATTAAAGGCTTCATTTCTAGTAAATACTTAGGTACGTGAGGATTGAACTCGACAGCTCTGTGAATAGCTTCGATAGCTATCATTTCTGGAGTGGTTAAGCCTCTTTTAATAGCAATATCGGTTGAAAATTTATCAGCGACCACCCTTGCTTTCAGTAACGCGGCTGTGTAACAAATGGTTGCTGACTTTGGTAGACTTATGTCATCGTATTTTGCTAATACTGCTTGGACATCGGCGTACGCTTGCATCTCTAATAAAGCTTCGATTAAATTCTCATGAATGTTTAACACATTCATAATTGGTGGAACTTCTTTTGTTAAATCTCTAAACATTTTTACAGCTTCTTTCAGTTTTCCTAACTTTCTCGCACACATAGCTAATCGTCGTTTAATGTATATCAGTACGTTCGTGTCTCTCCTGTGGATAGCTTCGGCAAGCGATCCTTGATGTTGAGTATTTTGAGATTTCCTGTAATTGTTTTCAGCCACCTTCAACGCTTGCTTCAAAATCTTTTCCGCTTCCACGATAGTACTAGCTTCCTCTTCGGCAAGTAATATATACGCGGGAGCACAGTCAGCATTATGATCGAGAGCGCTATGCGCTGCTTTTATTCGCACTACCGGGTTACGTTCTCTCCAGGCTGTTTGCATTATTTCATATTCAGCCTTACCTGCAACAGTTATTCGTGTTCTTATTCTATAAAAAAATAAGTAGCAAGAGTCCAACTAATTCGATGAGAAAAACTGGTTCGCTCGAAAATCAAACAATTAAACAATATATTGCCTAATAAGAATTACCTGTGTCACCTTCGCAGGTAAAGAATGTCTGATGATCTTGAGCAGATAAATTCATATCGTAATATGTTAACGGATCTTTGTTGGTGGCCCAAAAAAATCTTTGATACTCGGCCCCTCTAAACAAGTTGATCGGATTGCGCCAGACTTTACATTCCGGAACGTTTTGTTGATTCGAATTTGAGCCATTTAAACTTGAATTACTTCCATCCGACCCACTGTCACCTCCACCAATCCATGGTGAAATATGATTTAAAGACACTTGTTCGATAAAAGACGTGCCATATTTTCTGAAGTACCACCACTCGAAAATAAGGATCAATCCAGAAATCAACGACGACGTCCCGGTGAGAGCGACATAAAATTTTGGGGTTAAGGTGTTCAAAAACATTGTAGAGTCCCACATGCTTGTGAATAATAGGGCCATTTATAATACTTAAACACTGTGTAGATTTTCTTTGTTTCCCTTTATTGTTCCAACTTGCACTACTACTGTTTGTACTAACAGGATATTAATTAACAATCATCATAACACTGAACAATGTTGCTATCCTTACATCACTCGTGAGCTTAACTAATAAAAAACAAAATAAACTTGAGAAATGATCTAAACATTTGTGCACTTTTTATCCATCAAAATTTCAAACGTCGCATGACCGTTTTCATTCTATCAACAAACGTGGTGACATTCAATTTATTTTGCTTGAAGTTGCCGAATTTAAACCCAACAATGCAACGACATGTTTCGGTTTCGAGATTCGTATAACGCTCGTTGTTTTCCGTGACTCTGTGAACTCCGAGAAAACATTTAGAATATTTTATTTATTCTCAGCGCGTAAGTATCTTTGTTGATACACAGGATTCTCAGAAAAAAATGAAATAGGAAATATTTTAATGTTTAAGACGTACATCATATATTTCGAAAATACACGCAAAGTAAAGTAAGTGGCTGTATGTATGTACATATGTACGTACATGCTTCCAAAACCCCCATGCTTCGAATTACCAGAAATGTTGAAAATGTAAGTTCTCTTTTTGACAAAAACTACGATTGTGTGCAAGAAAGATTTTTGGCGACTAGAAGACCAACTGTTTACCATTCGAGTATTATCCCGTTTCTTTACAGATACCGTAGCGATTGAAACAGGATCCTAAATCTGTGACAATAGCTTTTAAAATCGGAAATACATTGAAAAAAAGAAATACATTGTAATGCGTCACCAATTTCTTGTCTCAATAGGCGAGTCGTATACGTTTCTTTTTCCTCACCAAAATAACGAATGACAACGAAACAGCAATTGAAAAATGAAAAAAAGTCGATCTCTGACATCGAACGGTTGACAAGAATTCGAAAGAAACATTCAGACGGATCTTAACTTATGTTCCCGCGAGGCCTTTTTTATGCATCCGAGCTTAAATGAAAGCTGAAAGTGTCTACTTTAAGAGTGTGTAGATTAGATTCAAGCAGAGCCGCGACATAACTTTGTAAAATTAATAATCTTTTCCGTGACAAGGAAAAATCAAGGTTAAATTACACAATTTACGTATATGATACTATTTTGCCAATTATTTAATTATCGCGTGATTTTTTGCCATAAATTTTCGTATAAGATTGAAATATATCCATGCGATCGGAATATTTTTTTTTCGTTCGAAATGTGCCATATTTTATGTTTGCATTGTGCGCACGTGGGCGATGGTGGCGCCTCTCGTGGAAGAAAAGCGGAGCTTGGTTCGGGGTTCGTAAAGCGCCACTAGGGGGAAAACGTTAAAACGGTTAGTCGAAGAAATTGTGATGTGCGCGTTGCGACGAAAGTAATTCAACGCTTTAAATAAATATATTAAATCGCGAAAGATACCGTTAATACAAAGTATAAAATACGTAGAGATTAGATTTTATCGATTTTACGCGAAACAAATGAATCTAGGAGGAAACAAAACATTTCTATAGAAAACCTTTAGAGCCGCTGCAACGTCGTTTCAGCCGTTGTGCGTAGTAAGTAGAAATTGTTTGAGAACTAAAAGTAAATTTGTGGATGCTAGAGCTAGAATGTATTTGGTCGATTGTTTGAATTGTCACCATAAAAAAAACTGAAGAAACTGGTATACATGGGAAGAATTGATTTTCAGATCGATCCGGAGCATCAGAGGATCAGACCGACAACGCAGCAGCGAGGACATAGGATCAAATTGGTCAGCCTGTCAACGAACACGCACACGTAAGTTTTCTCCTTTATTTTTCGTCTCTGTTTACCCCAAATAGGGTGGTGGCAAAACGCTCGAGTTATTTGCCAAAATCGAAAATCATTGAATTTGGCTAACAGTTTTCGCGCGTTTTGCCAGCATCCTAATTGGCGCTGCACGGACATCGAACGGAGCTTTATCTTTTTCACAAAAGAGGCGGCACAATCGATCGCGCGTGCACACGACAGAGCCGCATTAAAACATTAATTATAATAAAATTACGGCATAAAATGCTAAACCAAGAGGGTACCGAACATAATTAATTATCACAATAGTTGAACCAACTTTGAGAAGGAAATGTATACATATTATATTTTGTCGCGTTACAATCTGCTCGTTTCCGATTCTCTGGCCTTGGTTTATCGTCTCATGCCCACCGACACTGCTATTATGTATATGCATTTAAAGTTTGATTATATTCGGGTTCGTTTTCTCTTGGAATAATCGGTACTGAAGTCTCGAATACTGTCGTAATAATGAAACAAATAATTACCGTATCGGGACATCGTAATACCATCGTTTCTACGAGATTTCCCTGTAATCGGTAAATATGTAGAATACATAGAATGCGAGGGATTACAGAATGAAGACGAGCTACACGCTGTTTCGTGTTTCATTTAAAAAAATTTTTTATTTTTTTGATTATTATCATAGGCTTTCGTTGTTATAATTATAATAGATCAAGATTACACAATGATACTCTACAAGTTAGTCTTCGTTAAGAAATGAGGGCGTAAAAGGCTCGTGTCATCCCATTTTCGTAAAAAGTGGAAGACGCGCGGAGGTGTATCGAGATTGCTAATCGATTAATCGGCAATAGAACGTATGAAATGTACAAAGCAGGTACGACAAGCTGTGTCCTGGGGTATCTTAAAACCTGCCGTCTTACGACTACGTGTGTGTTTACTTTAGTTTAATATTTAGTTAATAATAATTATGATTCGAAACGTTAGACGGATAGTCCGCGGTTCAACACTAGAACTACCGGACCGTGCGAAAATCGACCCGTATCGACGTCTCGATCCACGAATAGGGTAAATAGAAATACGGCTAATTTCAACGAGAAACTTACGCGAGATGGATAGAATTTTCCGGTAATCGATAGAGCTCGCCGCGAGCGAGCGTACAATCGCGCAGCGTACGAAAGAAATTCAGGCCAACATAGGAAGAACCACTTTGGTTCGGTACGTTCTAGCGTTAAGGCGATTTATAAGTACTAAGAACGGTTTTGGCACTTGGATTTACCATTGCACTAATCGATAAAATGGTACCGCTTCATTTCCGGAAAGGGGAACCTTTCTGCACCTTCCTGTTCCGTGTCCCGTGGGTCGGTGGCGCGTATCGAACGAAAGTCGGTTCGAATTTCGTACGCGCGCACCATGTTTCCGTTACGAGCAACTATTTCGAACGAACGCTTTTGTCCAATTTGTTCGACTGCGTGCCGTCAGAGGTATATAAACGCGTACTGCAAGTAGAAAATTTCTTCTCGGACTCGATACGTACGTACGCGTACACGTATACAGTTGATCCGTGTAACCCAGACCGACGGGTAACAACCGTTCTCGTCGAGAGGATACTCGTGGTACGCTCGATTTTCGTTTATATTCTATACGTAGATCGTGGTACGCGTAGTCAATGACTATGCCTAGGTTCTATCGTAAAAGTTGACTGCGCTACGCTTTCTTTCTACTTTGGCATATCGACCGAAACAAATTGTCGTCCGATCAATTATAGACGCTCGACCTAGAGTGACGGGGGTTTTCGGGGACGAGGACGATCGAAAACGAAAGAACGGTGCTCCTTCGAATTACCACCTTTTAACGTTTTTACACGCGCTGTCCGTTTGTCACGCGACGACTCGCGAGACTTCCTTTCGCATTTGTCGCCAATCTATATGTATATGTAATATGTATATGTATATTGTATACGTATAGGTATGTGTATCGACGCTAGAGAATTGGCAGTATTTGGATTCGCGCAAAATATTCCATATTTTCTGTTTCCTCGCTCGCTCTCTCTCTCTCTCTCTCTCTCTCTCTCTTTCTCTCTCCCTCTCTCGTTTATTCTCGCTTCGCGTTCGATTAAGGCAATTTTCAGGCTATCGTGCGTGAAGCGTCGCTTTAGCGAATCGCTTTAGCTACGTAAAGCGATGCAAAACTGGCAACATCACGACGTTGCGGTACCCGTTTATAGAGAATTTGTTAACAATAAATTAAAAGAAAAATGATCAGCGGACGATATGTGACTCGTTCGGTGCATCGTGTCGGGAGAATCGCTTCCGGTGACTTTAGACTTCGCGCTACTCGCGTACGAGCGAATTTTGAAACAGCGATATCTCTTTGCTTGGAATAAATTCTCGAGTGCGTGTTTCGTTGTGTTCGATGTCGTTTATTTAGTACGGGTTTATTCAGTTTCTGAGATACAATTCGGTCGCTGGTATTCGGGTGGAAATTTTGGAAAATTGTACAGACGTTACAAATTATACAGCGACGATGTTCTCGACCGATCCCTCGCGTACAGTTTCCATCGAATCGCTGATCGGGTCGTTTCTCGCGTCAGCGTCGAACCGAACGGTTTATTCGATTTTGATTTCTCGCGTTACGCTAATTTGCCTGCCTGTATCCTACATTAACTAATCGTAAGTTCTGACTATCGTTCGAAGTTGTTTGGACTGTTGGTCCGAACGTTGCACAGTTGGTTCCGCGCTGGTTTCGCGCGCGACGATAACGCCCGCTCCGCTGGATCGACGAACAAACGTATCTGCCCACGTGGCTCGACGATCCAACGATCCAACGAACGTTGGACGCGTTCAGCGTACCGTGTTAAAGTATACCGAGTAATCTATGAGGCACCGTAGTAGTAGTAATCATCGGGCAGTGTTTCATTGTCTCGTTGCGTCAATTCCTCGAGTTCTCGAAGAACTCCCTCGGTTCCTCGGTATTAGGTTCAACGTTGCGTCGAGGTTCCTAGCAGCGCGGCAAATTCTCGAAAGCGATCGGAGTCGCCGATCGAATCCGCGAAAACGAGCGAAGAGCGCGACGACGATCGTGCTCGAACCTTGTACGCAACGGAATCGTACCGGGCGACGGAAGAACCGGGGGCGTGGGTTCCGGGGGTTCTGTGGTTTCTGGTTTCGGACGTGTCGTCGTCGGATTCCTGGATATGCTTTAAACAACTAGAGATAAGCTACGTAACGAATACTTTCTGTGGAATGGCTGCCATTTATTTCTAAAATAGTAACGAACGTTCGGCCGCGTAAGCATATAGATCCGGTGATCGATGGAAGCCCGACCGGGAGGATGATCGCGATGCGGGGCGGAAACGGGCGTCGAATCGTCTCTTTATTGGTAACTGTAATACAGTGCTCTCTCTCTCTCTCTCTCTCTCTCGATCTCCCTTTCTCTCGCTCTTTCTTGCCGATTCTCTATATGCTTAAGCGCGGAACAGTCGTTCTCCGAGTTTGCTATTTAACGCGTTCACCGCGACGCGACGCGCGCGAGAAACGCTGGAACCGTTAAACGAGTCCGAAATCGGTGTGCACGGTGACGTCGCAGTTGTTCGGTTTCTCGGCCGCGGCCGTGTTCACCTCGACCAAGGTGTCCACGCTGTTGATCGGGCAGCCCTTCAGGATCTTCTGAGCCGCCAGGCTGGTAAATTGCACCTGCATGTCGCTCAGGCTGGGGTAGGTGTACAGGTCGCCTCGACCGACCGTCTTCTCCAGGTTCGGTTCCGAGCCCTGCGGAGCTCTCTGTTGCTTGGTCGCCTCCAGATTCTCGATGTAGACGTTGTTGAACGAGCCTCCGAAACCGTCGAACGACTTGGTGGGCGAGGGCGGGTTCGAGGCGATGTTGTTCTTGGAGCCCGGGCGCAACAGGTTTCTGTAGCTGAGCGCGTCCTTGGACAACGAGAGACTGAGCTTCCGCGAGTTGTTCATGGCGTCGTTGGTGTTCTTGGCGTTCGCCAGCGCGGCGGTCGGGTGCTCGTTCGCCAGCGAGTTCTTGTCGACGTTGTTCGTCGAGCCGTCGATCAGGTGGGCCTGGCTGTTGTTCAGACGGTTCGTCAGCTTGAGCTTGTTGGGCGGTTCCTCGTCGGGTTTCGGCTTGTTCTCCTTGTCGGACTCGGACTGCGGCAGCGCGCTCGGCTTCGATTCTTTGGAGGCGTACAACGAGGACGGCCGCTCCAGTTTGCTCGACTTGTTCAGCTTCTCGTCCTCTATCCTGGTCTTGTACATCTTCTCGCCCAGCAGCTCCCGGTCCTGCTTCTCCTTGCACTCCTCCTTGCTGTTATCGGCCAGCTTCGTTTTGATCGTGCCGTTCTCGAACGTGATCACCGACCTCATCGGCGAGTTGTTCTGCTGCACGTAGATCTTGGTGCCCGGCGATCCGGAGATCGTGGTCGTGCTGGTCGCGTTCGACGCCAACGTCACGCTGTTCTGTATCGCGCGCTGCTCTTGCGACGGGCTCACCACCGGAGTCAGGTTCGTGGACACCTGCAGCGTGATCGAGTTCTGCGCTTCCTGCAGGGGAGTCAGCGACCCTTGCTGGACTACCTTCAACGGAGAAGATTTCGCTGGTAACGCGGACGTTTTCAACGGGGACGACGAGAGTTTACCGCTGGAAATCGATTTTCCACTGGAGTGCGACGAATGGCCGGACGACGTCTTCTGCAAAACCTGTCGAGATCCAATTGATACGATTAGCGCGCGCCCATCGACCGTCTACGAGAGGGGGGGGGGGGGGGGTTGGGGGGGGGGGGGGG